AACAGGAGTTCCAGCACAAGTCCTGTGACTGACCCTGTGGCTCCCCATTACATTACCATTATGCTAGATAGACAAAAATAAGAGATATCCACTATTCCTGGTAATATGACAAATGCTAACCATCATTTTTTAAATTTCTATTCAATGCACTATGTATTCTTTATTAATAATAACACAATCTTCGTTATGTGCTTATATATTTGACAAACATAGGTTTACTGAAAAGTTTTTATCAGATTCTTACTTATTGCAGGATACCAGTTTAAAATAACACTTATATATATAATAATGACTACATAAATAACATCATACATATTCCACACACATTTCTAGTCATAGGAATAAACAATATATTAATTTGACATGAGTCTAATTTATTTAAGGATCTTGGGTCTGGTTCCTACAACTGAACAGAATTTCAGAAACTGATCTTCCGCCTAATAATGTTATCCTGCATACTCAAAATGCATTAACTTATTCAAGACTCAGAAATACAAAGAATAAATATTATATAAGATAGGTTCCTGCCCTCTTGGAGTTCACAGCATAGGAGGGGAACCACCTGTAAACCATAATACCAGAGAGTAACAGGTATATCTTCATATAAGGAGATATACTGACAATTCATAAAATATGAGATGTATAGGCAAGAAATGAAAAACCTATAAAACTTATGCAAAATAATATTTAAATAGTCAAAAAAAATGGACGACTGAATTTTACTAGTATAATACAGCTATATCAGTGAACCAATATGGGGGGTGGGTCTGCTAGAACCAATAAATTTCTTTACATTGTGTTGGAGAAAATATAGCAAAAGCAGAGAGGTCCTAGAGATACATTTAATTAATAGCATCGTATTTGCCAAAAACTAACTAGCAATATACAAAGTACTTATTTAAAATTAATGTAACTTGACTAAAGACTGGCTAGAGAATATTTGCTACTTTAGTGTCATTATATGATGGAATTAATATTTCTGTGGAAAACCTAAGAACTCAAGATTCTGAAAGTTCAATAATTACATATGCATTTTAATTTAATTTTCAACACCCAATAGCAAGAATAAAATATAATTCAAGTTAATATGAAAAGCTTACATGTCAACATAAATTAAAATGCAAAAAATTATTTTAATATAAATAAATGTGGTTTTATTAGTATTAAGGACTATGATTCTAAAATGCTTCATATTTTTAAAATAAATTTAGTTCAAATGCAGAACATACCTTTTGTTTCTAAAATTTTAAATACATTTTAATTGGAAATTATTCTGATTATCAAGCTTCAAATAAACTCCAAGGAATAAAAGTTACTGTCACATTCAATTATAGAAGAATAACTTAGAAACTTCTTTTTACCAAAATATATGATCAATATGCCAAAAAAGAGGAACTTAGCCCACAAAATCCCCTGAAAGTATCTTGTTATATTTTCAATACAATATACAATGTGCTACTTAAATGTGAAAAAAATGATCATTTTCTACAATTAAGGATACACTGATATATCACACTGTAATTCATGGGGGGAAATATCTACAAATTAAATGCTATAGAATTATAGATAGCTATTCAAAAAATCCCTATGTGCATTCTTTCATTAAGTAAATATTAATTCTCTATTTTATCTTTTCTAAAAATATGCTCATATTAAAATTTTTGATAAAAATAAACTTTCATGTTATAAACAAAAAACATATATTTACATAGCATTTACCTCAAGGAAGGAAAAATCTTATAAAAACATGTTAAGGAAGCAATGAATTAAGTAGTATACCTGCTTTATAACTAAAACAGCCAATAAATATTTTTCTATAAATGCACTTATACTGTCCCATTAAATAATTCCTCTCTAAACCAAAGTTTGTTGATGATCAGTTTTTCTTTCATTAGTAAAGCTACAATGCAAAATCCTTGACAATATGCTCTCAAGTAATGTCACTTACAAACTAATGTACTCATCTTTCAGATGCTATCCACCCACCCCATATATGAATGTTTTAAGTCAGTGATAATATCATTATACAAAATATATCCATCTACAATGGAAATTATTCATTTTTTTCTATTTACATAGAAATTTTTTAACAAACACCCACAATGTGAGTAATGAAAACACATTTCTACCTTAGGCAAATAGAAGCAAAAAATTATAGCCACAGCTGTGTTTGAAGAAGTCCTATATTTTGCTGCATGCCTAAACTTTACTCTGCAAAACTTTTAATTCTTTGGCAAGACAGGTGAGAAATAGTTTAGGTGCTAGTAGTATTAGTAGTCTCATATTATATATAAAGAATGTACAGGAAAAAAGTAGAAAGAAAATATTTTGACAGAGGTGACTGAGAAAAGGGTACTGTTTAAGGCAGAAACTCTCTTGTTTTTAATTTTCACTAGTTTTTCTCTTTTCTGTCATAAAGGGCACTGTGATAGATGTTATTCTATCCCACCTATCATTTTTATTTAATGTTTTAAATTAAGATTTTAAAAAAAAACACCACTCACTTTAGAGATACCCCACTTTAGGGGTTTTCAATCTCTAACAAGTCACTGAGTGCCCTAAATGGATTTTACTGGATTGTACTTATTAAACAAATAGAATTAAGTTTGATAATTATTTTTTAAATTCCTAAGATTTCCAAATATTTTCAGAATCAGCTTAAGTTTGCACATGACATTTTCATCATGAGTATATTGGAAAGATAAAGACCTAAAACTACTATTAAAGAAATATGACCCTTCATATGACCAATATGTATTCCACAATCAATATAATTAACTTAATTAGCAAGTAGCTCCTTTTGTCATTTGTTTTCCCCAAAAGTTCCATTTAAAGATTCATTGCATTCTTTAAACACATACAAAGAAATTTTAAACCTAACTTTGTTTATTCCAAAAATCAATGCAGTTACAAGGTGCTAAGTAGATTTGGGGATATACCATTTCAGTACTAACTTATTTCTGAATAATCTAAACCTTAATAGTACAAGTAAAGTTAATCTCTACAATAATGTTTGCATATGAGACTTCATGGCAGATTTTCATTGCACTGAAGAGAGTTAAATGTCTTGTTTTACCTCAAAAGAAATATTTCACTTCATTTCTTAATCTACTGTGTATCTATAGAACCCCATCTGTTAAGGACTGATCTAGCAGACATTGGTACTGCTGCAGATTCCAAAACCATTAAAATCAGTTTCCAGCTTGCGAGGGCTCTATTGCCTCTTATCACGTTAAAATGTATTAAATAAGCATGTAAACAGATGTTAAAATAACCAAATAGCACATCTTTTAAAGTAAAATTGGTATTGGTTTGGTGAAAACTGGAAAAACACTTTAAATGTGTTCTTTTAAATTTACAGAAATAAAGTTATAGAAGAAATACAGTACCTGCTAAAATACTAACATATTTTGAGATCTCACCTCTTTTCTTTTAAAAGAGAAAACTAAAGAATACAGGTACTAACCTCCTATTTGCAGCTGATTAAAATTAAAACTCTCAATAATATTTCTATTAGTGTTTTAAAAATAATCTGTTTATATCAATGTGGTAATGTTACCCAAACTTACAACTGATTTTTATGGTGACATATTTAAAGGATAAAAAGAAGTAGAAAGAGGTGGTCTGTATTTAAACAGTAGTAAATATAACAAAGCAAGGACGGATATTATCCTATCTTTGAATTGAACACTGGCAAAAAGAAAAAAAAAAACAGCTTTAACTTCTCTGTGAATTTAAGAGGTGCATAAACTATAAACATTATCTAATCCATGGCATCACTGCTATAGCTGCAGCGTCCTTTCAGTTTTCCAATAAACCAAATAAAAATAATGGCTTAGTTGAAAAATCAGAATACCTGGGTGTCATAAAATCTCCTTGCAAGCACATTTTCTATTGCTGTGACTCCACTTTAAATACAATAGTCAGCTGATTGCTCCTGATTTAAGCCTTGCCTTCCAAAACCGAACCTTACTTAATGTCAAAGATTATTGTAAAGGAAACTGTTGGAAAGCTTTGCTGCAGCAAAAACTGCATTTATAAAACATAAAAAAATTAACTACTCTTAATTATCTGAATATATGATTCCCCTCTCCTTATTTCTTCCCCTAACATTTTGAACGCTTCTTAGCCTCAGTAGATAGCGCAAAACATACAAAGTCATACACAGTTCTGCAGTAACGCTTTCTTATCATGAAAAAAGACACACACACACACACACACACACAGAGAGAGACACACACACACACACAAACAACAAAAAACCTAGGGCTACATCTAACACCTTTCCTTTAGTCTTTATCCATATGCCACGCTGTCTAAGACAACCACAGAAACCAACCTGTATGATTTAGTGGCCTCACATTTTAACATGTTGTGGGAACGCGAACGCGCGCGTGCGCGCGCGCACACATACACGCGCGCGCGCGCGCGACTAAAGAGGTGAACAAATTCAGAACAACATTATAAAGAAAGAAAGGGGTCGGGGGACACAGCCACAACACTCCATCACATCATAGCTTCGGAATATATTTAAAAGAAGATGCAAAACTGCATCATTTTCCTCGTCATTCGAAAACATCACACCCAGCTGCTCAAGTTCGAGCTAACGCGCTCCTCGCATTTCAGAAGCACTGGGGATTTTAGACTCCAGGGACCAGGCTTTCATCCTCGCAGAGCGACACCGGGGACAATTAACAGTGTAAGAGAAAGAACTCCAGAGAAAGGGAGGCCTCCTCTCCCGCAACTAAAGTCTCAAGTCGACCCAAAACCTGCAGGGCAAGGAATGATTTACTATTCATTAAGTTGGACACTGCGCTCAGGTGGCAAGAGAGGACCAGAGGAGACCGGGGAGGTGGCGTGGATAGGGCTACGCGCTGGCAGGTCACCCGCCGGCAACACCGGCTGGATGATCCTGGCTCGCAGGGATGCGCAGCGCAGTGACCCTGGGGTGCAGGGAGGCTATGGGGGCTGGGAGGCAGGCAGCACGCTTTTTCCCTTACCAGATTGAGCACGGTCTCCACGATGTCCCTGTTGCTGACCTCTCCGACCTGTATGAGTCCAATCAACACTGCGAATTTCATCCGGATGTTGCGGATCGGCACCGAAGGGTTAATCATCCCCGCGGGCAGCACCACCGCGCCGGAGGCGGACGC